CAATCATTATTTCTACACTGTAAAATTTTTTAACACAAAACGAACTTGCTTTGAAATTTTCAATAACTATGAAAATTTTCTCAGCTTCTTCTTCAGCTTCATCTTTCACTCTCCTCCTCCTCCTCCTTCTCCTCCTTCTCCACCTCGACCTCCACCATCTTTCCTCTCTGCATTCTTTGTAAAATTTATGAAGTTGCAGCTGTTCCAACTCTCTCTCTCTCTCTCTCTCTCCCTCTCTCTCTCATCTCCCCTATTGCTATCACTATTGCTAATGATCTATTTCAGATCAAATTCTCTAAAATTCTATTTGAATATGTTCAACTTTTAGTGTGTATGTCTTCCAAATTGCGTGGGTTTTGTAAATTTCTCATTCTATAACAAACAAAGAAAAAAAGAAGAGGGAGAGGAAGAGAGGAAGAGAGGAAGAGAGGGAGAAGAAGATGATGATGATATAGAATAATTTGAAAAGAAACTAAAGCATATATTGATGAAGTTAGAGGAAAAATTTGAACTTGAACAAATGTGATAGATTAGTTGAACAACAATGACAACAAATATATACTATTCTCTTCCAACATCGAAATATAACGAGAAAAAAAAAAATTTCGTTTCATCCAATCATTCTAAAATCAAATCACTTATCTCTTTCACTTCAAAATGTTGTTGCCACTTTGTTAGCTATAGATAAGCGTTAGCAAGTACTTGAAATGAACCAATTCAATCTATAATTCTTTCTCTATTTCTTGAAATTCTATCCAATCTTATCCATCTATTTGTTCATCCATTCATCCATCTATCTATCTATTCATCCATCTATTTACAGATCCATCCATAATCATCACCACCACCAATAAATAACAATTTATCGTATAGCATGCTAGCTTAAGTTTAAGCAAGCTAAAAACCTCTCTCCTTCTAACTTTCAGTTTCACATTGGCGGATATTATTCGCTCTCGATCATCGACCGACCGCATCTCTTTTCATTCTTCAACCATTTTTGTCTTCCATCTCACATCAAGTTCATTTCCAAATCATATACTGTGTGGTCACCAAAAAAAAAGGAAAAGAAAAAAGAAAAATGAAAATTCATTCTGCTTATTTATAAATATGCAAATTTTCTTTCAAATAATTTGCAAAAAAATAAAAGCAGAGGAGTTGTGAAATTTTTGAACTGAAAGTTGAACTTATTCGTTGTTTTCTTTTTCCCACTTGGCATATTATTCAATTCTACAACTCTATTAAAGGCATTTTTTTTTGGCTAAATGTCTGTATTACTTCTTATTGCGGGTATTGAAGAATTGGAAATTTCATAGCTGCAACCAATTCAAATCTATTAAATTTGAGATTTAAATTTAAAATTCATCTTAAATAAAATAAACTATAATTAATTATGGTCATTCGCTGTTTGTATATAATTGAATTAACGGATGCCGATAAAGATGGTTTGGAATTGGTGGATCCATCATGGTGTAAGTATTATTTTCATTCTTTTTAAAAATTTTATTGTTGAAAAAAAAATTCTCTTTTTAAATATCAGAGCATGATATGGAAGTGGAAACAATCAGTGAATTAGATATGACGATGAGTGATGCTCGATCAGAATTCAGCGAATATTCCACAATTTCCAGAAGCTTGTTTGGTATGATTGATGTCAAATTTCGATTTCAACCGATGGAGAATTGAAATCGAATTTTAAATTTCATTAAATACTCTGAATTTGGCAACTTATTAATCAAGTTTTTTTTTTGTGGGATTTTTATATTTTCAATTCTCTAAATTATTTATTTGCTTTTAGGTCCCGAAGAAGGACCACCACGGAAGAAAATTAAATCACCGCCAGTTATATCACCAACCGCTTCAACAACCAGCCTATATAGTGGTGGTAGCAGCTCAATCGATTGGAGTTAGTATTTTCTTTTTTAGAGTTTAAATTTATAAGATATTAGAGTTTAGAATTTATTTAAAATCCTTCAATTAAAATGTGCATTACATTTGCAATTCTTTCCGGATTAAAATGCATTTCCTGCAAACGATAATTTAAATCTAGTAAAGTTTTTTTTTTTTTTTTTTTGAAAAATTTCATAATTTAGATGAAATGCCTTGTTCATCTTCAGTAGACAAAATTCTTGGCAAATTATTTTGAAAATTTGATTTAATAAAAATCTAAACTCATAAAATACCAATTTTCAGCAACAACGGGTACCACACTTGACATGCAAGGTACACGTGTTACCAGGACACAGTATGGTTTCAGAACACTACAAGAATCATCCGCAAAAATGTGCCTTAAAGTTACTGGCTATCCATTACCTGAAATCACTTGGTATTTATTTTTTGATACAATAAAATAATTTGCAATTTTGGTATTGAACAATGAAACATTTTTCTGTTTCAATTATTCTGTAGACTTTATTTGATATAATATAGGATTCCGAATCCTAAACTATATATGATGATCAGAAAAGGCAATTTTTAATCCATTGCATGTAACATGTGTTATTGATTGATTTTATTGGAATTTTAAAAATCGATTGGATTGCAGGTATAAAGATGATCAGATGCTGCATGAAGATGAAAGGCATACATTCTATGCAGACGAAGATGGTTTCTTTGCTTTGACCATAGATCCGGTACAGGTTGAAGATACCGGACGGTACACATGTATGGCCACTAATGAATATGGACAAGCATCAACATCTGCATTCTTCAAGGTGCTCAAAGGTAATCAATTATTTTTTTTTCTAATAATTGGTATTAATTTTAAATCACTACTATAAATTCATATTTTATTCTCAAAAGTGCAAGCGAACATAATTAATATTGACTTTTTTAATGATCATCTAAATTACGCTTGATGCTTCAAGCAACAATTCATTAGTTTAAATGTTAAATTTTTAAATTCTGAATCAGTGATGAAAATGTAGTCTGAAATTGAATAATTAATTATAAATTGTCAAATAACACCATATATTTATACTTTTAATATATTTGATTTGTTTTAATAGATAAATATATTCTCTGGATGAAAGTTATAAAGTTTCTACTAACTAATAGAAACTCGATTATTTGAGCATGGAAGTATTCATGAATTTTCAAATTTGCAAATCTGAAATGAGAAAAAGTATACAAAATAAATGCATTATGCATATATTTTGTTTCGAAAAAACATTTTTTTTTTTGTTGGAAAATCATCAATAATCCATTTTTAATTTTATTAATTAGAGGAGTTGGAAGTGCTTGATAGAGAGAGAAGAAGATTTATCCGTTTGCGCAAAAATTCAAAGAATGCTAATCTGCAAAATGTTCCATCATTTTATTATTAGAAAACAAAAAAAGAAAACTAAAATAAAATAAATTTTTGTGAAAATTATTTCAGTTGAAAAAGAAGCAGCGCCACCAGCATTTGTAACAACATTGCAAGATCAAGAAGTGAAAGAGGGCGAAATAGTATCATTTGAATGTGAGGTAAGTGACGATAATTAATTTAAAATCTTAATAATGTCATGTTGTCATGAAGGTATCCAAAATTTTGATTTCATTCAAATTTGAAAAATTTTTAAACATAAATCTGCTTCATATTACATTATTCAATAGGATGAGGAAAATGTTTTCAAATATGTCAACTTTGTTATTGATTCATTTTTCCATTTAGCAAAAATACAAATAAATTATTAATTAAAAAATTTTTTCTGCATGGAATATAAACTAATTACTGTTAAGGTGGAAGGATGGCCAGAACCAGAATTGGTCTGGTTGGTCGATGAGCAACCACTTCGACCGTCACACGATTTTAAATTAGAATACGATGGACAAAATGCTAAACTCGAAATTCGCGATGCGCAACCGGAAGATACCGGTATCTATTCGGTACGAATCAAGAATGAATATGGTTCTGCTGAATCAAAAGCAAAACTGACGGTGGAACCGGATCCGGATAAGAATCATGTCGCACCCGAATTTCAGGTTCGTTCTTCTTCTTATTGCAATAATTTTTAAATAATACGTGCCAAAATATAATACTTAGAAATTCGGAAATTAATCATTAATCCGTCTTTGCGCACTTTTGATTGATAGCAGTTTTTTGACTTTTTTTAAAAATTTTTGACAGTCATATAGTTTTTTTCATGTAAAATAATTATGTTATAAAATAATTACAATCATGAAAAAAAGACTGCTATTAAGCAATCAGTTTATTGTTTAGTTTATTTCGGTATTTAAATTAATTATTTTCAAATTTGCAGGCAGTAATCGAAGATGTCGAATGCAATGAAGGAGATACTGTTAAATTTAAAGCAGTTCTTACCGGCGATCCTGTCCCAGAAGTAAATTTTATCGTTTTTTTATTAATTCAATAAAGCAATTTATTTTTAACGGTTATAATACAAATAATTTACTGAATATAGATTACTTAATTTACTACAAATTTTTAGCAAAATGAACATAAAATCAATTTGTTTAATTTTTGCAGTTATTCAAAAATTTTAAAGTTTTTTCTAAATTTTAATTTTATTGTTAACCGTCGCAGTGTTTTAAATAACTATAAAATTATATTAGGTGGTTTGGATGATCAATGGTATACCATTATCTGAATCAGATAAGATCAAATTTATCAATGAAGATGGAATTTGTATTCTAACAATTACTGATGTTTCTAGACATTTTGATGGTACTGTTACATGTCAAGTAAGTTATCATTGATAAAAATTTTTCCACACTATCAAGAAATAATGTTAAATTTTGCAAAAACTGAATTGAAAATAAATTTGAATTAAAGAATAAAAATTCGGAAGAAAATTGATAATTTTTCACAAATATCAACTAGGAAAAAAATGATGATTTTTTCACACGTTATCATTGATAATTTTTCCACACTATCACGAAGTAATGTTAATTTGCAAAAATTGAATTGAAAATAATTTGAAATAAAAATTTTTTATTTACACAAAGAATTTTAATTAAAATTTCAAATTAAAATTTAAATAAATTTTTCAGGGTGTTAATCGACTTGGCACACGAAGTTGTGATGCTCAGTTAAAAGTACGGGTACCACCATCTGCGCCACATTTTGAACGTCCACTTGAGGATAAAATTTCACAGGAGGAGCAAATAATTGTCTTAGAAACAGAAATTAGCGGCTTTCCGGATCCAAATGTTTCGTTTATGATGAAAGGAAAACCGGTTAGTTAAATTTTTGCTTACACAATTATTCGCCAAATAATGATCAACGGTTGAGAAGAAGTTTGCTAACAAGTTTTCATCAAAGTGTATCGAATGTTCAAATATCATCAATCAAAAGATGTTTTCGATTTAAGTGACATAATTCATTTGAAGAATTGAAAGAACCATTTTGATGGATGTATTTTTTTTTTAATTTTAGCATTTAGTTACAAAGAACTTAAATCATATAATAGATCAGCTCGAGATCTGAGAGATTCCATTATAGATCAATTGTAGATCTGAAATTGAAAATTTGAAGTCTTGATTATCGATTAGAATGATAAAAACTAAAAACTGAAAAATGTTAACTTCTTTTAGATTGTATCCGGTGAAAATGGTATTGAAATTATCAACGTTGGTAATGGATGCTATAAAATTGAAATTTCAAAAGCTAACATTGAATTACATGACGGTGAAATTGTTTGTACAGCAACTAATAATCATGGACAAGCAGAAAGTAGAGCACGCATTGTTGTGGAGCCGATTGATAAAGATTCACTTTCAGCGCCTACTTTTGTTAAAGATATTGAAGATCAGGTAAGCAATGATTTATAATTAGCATAATTTAATATCTATCATTTTTAAAATTAAAACTAAAAATTCCATCAATTCAAAATTTTTTGAACTGAAAAATTTGATGTAAAATTTTTTCCAAATCATCATTGGAAATATTTTACAGACTGTTAAATATGGTGAAATGGCTGTTTTTGAAACATCCGTTCGTGGAAGTCCAAATCTGGAAATTTCCTGGTTCATAAATGGCCAAAAAGTTGATAAGACAACAGATGGAATACGCATTGAAATACAATCAGTTACAGATCATAAGCTTATCGTTGACTCAGCAAAATATGCAGGAACTATTTTATGCAGGTCATTTTAATTTTTTCTTTTTCATTTTTACAATTTAAAGATTAAATATCTTTTTATTGCGCAATATCCATGAAATGCGAAATTAATTATCAAATGAAATTAATTATTTTTCCTGCATATTTGAAAATTTTTCAATTCTGTAAACAAAAAAAAAAAATGTTTTAATTTCAGAGCCGAAAATTCTGTTGGTCGTTATGAAACAAAAGCAAAATTGACAGTAATTTCTGGTGAAAAGAAAAAACGTGCACCAGAATTTATTGAAAAATTAGCAGATGTAAATGTTATTGAGGAATCGAATGCTATTTTTGAAGTTCGTATTGAAGCTGAACCGATGGCTAAATTGAAATGGTTTTTGAACGAAAAAGAATTAACCGAATCAGATGTATGTGTTTTTTTTTTTAAATTTTATTCTTGAAATTTTGAAAATTTAAAGAATTTCTTTGAAAAAAATTAACCGAATTAGATTTCAAAGAATTTATTCTTTGAAATTTTGAAAAAAAAAAAGAAATTTTGGAACAAGTTTTTTTTTTTTATATCGATTAATTTGCTATTGCTCTTGTTATTTTGATAAAATATAGGAATTAAAAATGTTGATAAGCAATATTTATGCATTAATTCATTGCCTTTTAAAGTACAATATTTTAGCATATCAAAATTCGTGAATTTGACGGTAGCTGGAAATTGGAAATGAATAAAGTAACAATTGAAGAAAATGGTATCATTCGTTGTGTGGCAGAAAATTCCGAAGGTAATGCAGAAACAACGGCGCATTTGACAGTTAACAAGAAACCATTAGCGCCACAATTTGAAGATCGTCCAAAAAATGTTACCGTTGAACGGGGTCAGGAAGCTCAATTCCAGGCTCATGCAATTGCAGTACCTGACCCCATATATCAATGGTCCATTGGTGGTCGAAAAATTAAAGAAACTACAGAAGGTGCTAAAGTTGAAACGATCAATGGTGTTTCAACACTTACAATTGATACTAAAATTTTCGATTCTTCTACTGTTTCTGTGACAGCTACAAATTCCATAGGTATGTTTTCCGTACAAAACAATAAACTTTTTTAGCCTTCAAATTTTTCAAATAATTTAATTATTTTATTTCATATCAATTGTGATAATGGAAGCAATAGTTGATCATAATTTAGGTGTTGATGAAACTGGCGCTTTGTTGACTGTACAGGAAAAAGAAGCAAAGGAAGAAGGAACAGAAGATTTAAAAGTAATAGTGTAATTGAAATTTGAAATTTTATTTCGAATTTAATTTTTCAATTTAAAAAGATTTAAATTTCATGATGGAATTTTTTTGTTTCTGTAGTATTAATTTTCTAGTTTTTTTTTTAATTAGTGTCATTGAATATTTGATTTTATTAATGTAATGAAATATTTATTTTTTTTTGACGGGTCTAGAAATTCTCTCATGAAGAGATAAATGCAGATGTGACATTTGTTCACTTTGACCTTTAAATTTAGATCTAACTTCAAAACAAATATTTTAATTAAATTTAATCAATTTTCATTTTTAAACAAACAAGAAATAAATTTTCCAGGAATCTGGCGATACTACGGTGGAAAAAATGCCAGTAATCAAGAAGGCACTTCATGATCAAACTGTTAAACATGGTGAAATAGCCAATTTTGAGGTTTCCATTGAACCAAATGAGGTTGTCGCGGAATGGTACAGCAATGGAAACAAACTGACCGATGGGATGCCAGGTGTTTTTTTTTTTCGAGCATTTCTTTAAAAAAAAAAAAAAATATTCCGAGAGATTTATAATTAATTAATTTTGGTAAGCTTTCCGAAATAAGTCGTTTATCAATTTATTTTTTAGCCATTTATAAATTCCATTCATATATTAATTTATATGCTCATCAGAAAAATCTTGATTGCAATATATGTGACCAAAATTTCCTTATAAAATATGTATGCATTTAAATTTCAAATATTGCAGGTGTAAAAATTTCTCATCAGAATTGCGATTTCAAATTAACTATTGATTCGACCTTGTATGCTGGTGTCATTAGCTTTAAAGCTTCAAATAAAGCCGGTAAAGCGGAAAGTAGTGCGAATCTGATTGCTATCCAGAAAGCACCGGAATTTCTGAATACACTCAGTGATATTTCGGTCAAGGAAGGAGATAACGTGGAAGTTACTATTGAGTCTAGCAGTAATGCTACCTTTGAATGGGCACTAAACGAGAAAACTTTACAGGTAAAAAAAAAGAATAATAAAAGAAATCTTTCAATTTAATTTTGGCTTATATTTCCATTTACTCTATTACTTTATCTATGCTAAAGTCATTAGAAAATCTCAATTTCAAATTTACAATGAAACTTATGTCGAATCTAAAAATTGAAAAGATAATAATTCCATGATTTCAATATTGTATGGCTTGAATTCTATGAGTTCAATATTGCTTAACTTAAATATCTAAAAGATTTCAAAAAATTATTTTATTTCTTTTCCTTTTGAATATAATTTTATAGAGCGGTGTTGGAGGTATCACAATCAGAAATGAGGAAAGTAAGAGTGTTTTGATATTCGAAAAAGTTTCGCTGCAACAAGCTGGTAATATCAAAGTAACAGCAACTAATGAAGGTGGACAAGCGTGTTCTTCTTTTAATATGACTGTCACTGAAAAAGATATAGCACCTGAAATTGTAACAGGTAAATTAGGTTTTATTTTAGTTCCTAAATAGTTTTATTGTTAGCATAACAATAGGATAAAACAAGAAAAGCAAGGAAAGATTTGAATTTCAAATGAATAAAGAATGCTTTAAATATTTCTACATGATACTCATATATCAAATTACCATACTTGTCATGCTTCAATAATTTCTCAATTCACATTTTGGTTCAAAATTTTTAAATCATACATGATTATAATCAGATACTTCTGCTTTCTTACATTCTCCAATAGCTTCCAAAATTGTTACAGGACCAAATTCATTGTCTATCAAAGAGAATGACACAGCTGAATTTCGAGTTGAAATAACCGGAAAGCCAACACCGATAGTAAAATGGCAATTAAATGGACGTGAGCTAACATCATCGGATGCAAATATTAGCATGAAATCGTTTGAAGAAGTTTACATCCTAAAGATTGAAAGAGCAAACGTGAAACACGCCGGTGAAGTGGTTGTTACTGCAGAAAATACAGCCGGTATGGTAGGCAAGGAAGTTGTTTTGAAAGTTCGTATTTCATTCTCTTATTTTTATTTGAAAATTTACTGGATTTAAATTAATAGTGGAATTGGAAATTAAATAAATCAGAAATTTTTTCACATTTTTAACACTTTCATATAGATTTCGCACTTAAATCTTCATTTTTTCATTTTTATTCGAAAAAAAAAGTTTTAAAATTTAATTTTTTTTTTCAGGTTGAACCGGATCTAACAAAGCCAGTGTTTAAGACACATTTAATCGATCGTAGCGTAAACGAAAATGAACCATTACGATGGGATATTGCAATCGAACGTCCATACAAAGGAGTGACAATGAAGTGGTTTTTGAACGGTAAAGAGCTAACAAACAACGAAAATATACAAATTATTGATCATGGTATGTCAAGTCAAACTCACGGTAAAATTTCACATTCTCAAAAATTCCACTAATTTTGGCTGATAATGGCTAATGGTTAAATGCCGGATGATCAATGATCAAGTTGGTTGGTTGGTTAAAATGATCGAAATATTTGATATCAATTTTTAAATTTTTATTAAGCATTCAATTCATTTATTCGAAAGTGTATTTTCAGGTGAAGGAAAATATCATATAACCATAAATGAAGCTAAACCAGACATGTCCGGAACATTAATTGCTAAAGCGACAAATTCCTATGGAACCAGTGAATCACATGCATCCGTTGAAGTCAAAGAAATAGCTCGTAAACCGGAAATTCTAAGACAGCCACAGAATCATGAAGTTGAGGAAAATCAAACTGCAAAATTTAGCGCCATAATTTCCGGAAAACCTATACCAACAGTAAGTTGGTATATGAATGGGATGAGATTGGAGAATAGCAGTGAAATTGGCGTGAAATTTGATGAAACTACTGGAAAGACATCAATCAAAATTTTTAAAGCAAACTTATCTGATAGTGGAAAGAAGGTATTATTTTGAAATATTTTACGATAATTCAGGAAATCTTGTAGATTTTAATATGAATCAAACAATGATCATTGATTTTGCTTGTAGAAATTAATACATTTAATTCAGATTACAATCAAAGCAGAAAATGCAGAAGGTCAAGTGGAAGCAAGCGCAAATTTAACTGTTAACAAAAAATCGGAACCACCAAATATTTTAGCTGAAATGAAAAGTCGTCAGGTAAATGAAGGTGAAACGGTAAATTTTTCGATTAAAGTAGCCGGTTATCCAACACCAGAGGTAACATGGTTTCGTAATGGAGAACCAATCGTACCTGGCAGGTAAATGTTGCAAATACTTTCTATACACATTAACCATAATTGATTACATTTTCTTTCTTCATTTTATCGAAATAAAAAATAAACGGTAATTATTTTCTCACCATTTCCAACAGCGATTTTCATTTTAGCCCAAGAAAACTATGAAAAATTAACGATAGCATAATAGTTTTATTTTAAAAATTATCGTACCATAATATATGATATTTATTCCCATATGTTAATTCAAATTTTAAAATTTTTAGCTTAAAAATTTTTAGCAAAATTAAAATTTTTAGCAATATCAAAATTACTGAAGAGGATGGTGTGCATACATTGGTGTTCAGTGATGTTCTACCGGAACAAAGCGGTGAAATTTCATGTGAAGCAAAGAATAGCGTGGGATCCAAAAAGCAATTAGCAACATTAACGGTTAAGCCAACCGGCAGTGCACCATTTTTTGAGAAAAATATCGCAGATAAATTGGTGGTGGAAGGAGAAGAATTAATTATGGATGCTAAACTTGCTGAGGTTATAAAATTAATATTAGTATCACGTTAAATCGACATTTTGTTGATATGATTTCAATTAAATCCATCAATATTACATATCATTTCACTTGTTTGTAGTAATTGTACGTTGAACATATCTCTCTAAATTAGACAATTCTAATAAATGACGAAAAATAAATTTAATTTAAAAATTTAGAAAATTGATTCCTAAATTTTAGGTCAAACCTGCTCCTACAATATCGTGGTTAAAAGATGGTAAACCATTGGAGGATGCTCGTTTCAAATTAAGTCGAGAAGAAAATGGAGTATTAAAATTGAAAATTGATTCTGTTGAACTAAATGATAAGTCACGGATTACAATACGAGCTGAGAATCAATTCGGATCAGCTGGTATGTAAAAAAAAAAAATTAATGCAAATGTGTTAAAAATATTTTTACTTGTATTCCAAATTGCAATTTGTTAAGTTCTCAGATCATTTAATCGTTGAATTTGATTTTTACTTAATACTTTCAATTCAAATAAAAGCAGTAGGATAGCTTATCGTTTAAATGTATAATAACTTTACAACATATTAGCTTTTTATATAATTAAATAGCTTCCAAGCTAATTCTAATGCTTTTAAAAAACTACAGAGTAACAAATTTTATGATGGATGGCTTATAATTTAAATCTTTAAATTATTGACATTGTTTTTGTTTTTGTTGTTGTTGTTGTTTCAATTTAATATAAATAAAATTTTCTTTTAAATATGCAGATTGCTCGGCATCAATTGGAGTAACGAAAAAGCGTCCGATGGCAAAACCAGCTTTTCTATCCGATATACCAGCAACCACAGTTACCGAAGGAGAATCCCTCAATGTTAAAGTAATTATCACCGGTGATCCTGTACCATTCACAAAATGGTATATCAATGATCAGGTATTTTTTTTTTCTTTTAAATTATCAATTATGCAAATGTGTTACATTTAATTATTTTACTATTACTTGATTTTTTTTTTCATTTTTGTTTGAGTATTAATTAATTTCAAACAACTGCTGGAAGATATTAATTCCAATGA